AGAGAGAGAGAGAGAGAGAGAGAGAGAGAGAGAGAGAGAGAGAGAGAGAGAGAGAGAGAGAGAGAGAGAGTTGAGCTGCTAGATAATAAGCTGCACACAAGAGTTGAGCTGCTAGATAATAAGCTGCACGCAAGAGTAAGGACATGTGTAGATTTCGTCGGTAAAGCCGCTTCTTGTCCCTAAGGACATTGTGTGGGCATGGGTACCGAGTATGTCGTATGGTTGTCTAACGTCATGGCATCTTGCCTGTGTTTTGCTTGTCCTCTCCCCTGTCTCCTCTCTCTTTTCTTCTCTTCTTCTTCTTCTCCTTCTCCTTCTTCCCTTATTTCGTATGAATGTGGCCTTGCCTTCGTGTTTCGCTCCTCCTCCTCCTCTCATCTTATTTGTCCCCTTCCTCCTGCCTCCCACCCACCCTTCCTCTCCCCTTCCTCTTCTTCTTCCCTCCTCCTCCCCTTCCTCTTCTTCTTCCCTCCTCCTACTCCTCCTCCTCTTCTTCTTCCCTCCTCCTCCCTTCTCCTCCTCCTCTTTCCCCCTCCTCCTCCTCTTCTTCCCTCCTCTTCTTCTTCTTCTTCTTTTTCTTCTTCTTCTTCTTCTTCTTCTTCTTCTTCTTCTTCTTCTTCCCTTGTTTTGTATGGATGTGCAGTGTGTTGAACTTTCTATGACGAGGAGAACCAGAGGAGGAGAGAAGTCCTGTCATCTCTGTGGTCAGGTACAATGGGACCAATCCATCATTTTGTTCCTTGCTCGTTGAAATGAGATATTTGTTTTGTGGCAATAGCCCCACCAGCTCGCATGTTGGGCGTTGTCATTGGCTTTGTCATTGCAGTTGTCTTTCTCGTCCTGAAGCGACCGACCTCGCTGACCCTTTTTGGTAGGCGAGACGATACTGGAAAGAAAGAAAAGAAAAGGGGATAGGATGCTGAACCTGCTGAGGCTAATGAAGCCAAGTACCCCCCCCAAAAAAAAGGGACCCCGTGATAAGACCCCTCAACTTTTCAAATAATGCAGCAAGCTGCCTTGGCCGGCCCTATGTGACTTTTTTTTTTTTTTTTTTCAAAGACTGATACCTTCAACCGCTCCGATATATCCATGTAAAGCAAAGATGCCAATTTTGGCTTTTTTTTTCAAACGAAGAAAAACATGCTCTCTTAATTCTCAGTTCTCTTGCCTGTTTTCTGATGTCACCAGGCGTTAGACGTGCCCGAAGAGTGCCCCAGGGGTCGCGCAGGGATTCGGACCGACAACGTGGGGAATCGAACTGACACCCTCCTGAATGCCACTCACGCGCTCTACCAACTGAGCTAGGCCGCTGGCTCTTCCTATTTTCTCCGATACCAAATTGCAAGGAAGATGAGCGATAGCGAACTTCAGAAATCAAACAGCATCATACACATGAGGCCAGATAGCCGTGACCTCGAACCAATAGCAGAATTGCAACACGGGTTTCACCAAATAAGAGCACAGCAAAAGCTCATAATTGACAATGCTGGAATAGTCCCATCATCATCAACGAAGAACCAATGTCGATATCCTATCTGGCGCTCGGCGCCCAGACTACGAATGACAGATCCTATCTAGCCTAGACTACAATGTCGCTGATGACGTCAACAGCTTCTCAAGTATGAGCAGATCTCGGCCAATGCCGCACGCTTCAAGCACCAGGTATGTCTCTCGTATCACTCACAACCTCGTTCCCCAACACACAGATGCCACTTGCACCCAAGGACCACCATGCGCCCCATCCAGCATTAAGCAGCGCAGCTCGGCTATGGCTGCCTGCTCCTTCCAGCTCGCCCGTGAGCGCGTGAGCCTGGCCAGCAATAGCGCGGCAGCGCTTGCGCACAAAGCAGCCAGTGCCCGAATGCCGAATGCGTGGTCTGGCCCGTTCCTAAATGGAAGTGGCCAGCCTGCTCGCTTGCAGCCTGGCTGTGCTGGGCCCCTGCCCAGAAGCTTTCGGTAGGCCCAGGGAGGCTGAGCCTCAGACCAAACGAATCAGGCCCAGGGCCACCGACAGTTACCCGTGCCCAACTGCTCGCTGTCTGAGTTGGGTCTATGCTGCGTATCTTGCCCAGGGCCTGACTTAGATACATTCGGTAAAGAAGGCCAGGGCCTGGGCGCCTTCAACCAACTGGCGCTGCGCAACTGCCTGGATTTTTCCCAGTTGCGAAGTAGTCCAAAATAGGCCTCTTGTCGTCTGTCGAGCCTGCCTGCACTTAGGGCGGCCGACCTGTTGCAAATAGGGGCCCAGTAGGGCTTATCGAGGCCTATGCCTCGCAGAACCCTTGAACCACCAGTACTTGGCCCAGCTATCGGCCATGGAAAAAAATAGAGTAGAAAGGTTTCTAGTCGCTCCTGTAGTGGCCCGTACATTTCCTGAAATCGTGGCTCGTTAACGGGCACGCCTTTTCTAAGAGTACTGGTTGTTTCATATTAATAGCACTGGCTGAATGAATATGTTTGCAGCCGTTTCCATCATTTTCATGCATATGATGCACCCTTCTTCTTCTTCTTCGTTGTTTTTTTTCCCCTTAAAACATTTCAACCATTTTTCGATTAATGCGTGTGTCATCCATGCGCAGGGGGCATGCTCAATGCTCATCTTCCCTGTATCGTTCCAATTTTAACAGATCTCGCAAAGGACCAACCTTCATTTTTCGCTCGTTAGACTTTTTCACATTCAACTTGACGGCAAGGCGAACCCCTCCTCTGTCTCTCTACTCTCTCTCTCTCTCTCTCTCTCTCTCTCTCTCTCTCTCTCTCTCTCTCTCTCTCTCACCACTCTCACCATCGATCACGGCGTTGGGAGAAAAGAAGATGAAGATTAATCCTATCTAGGCACATGCAATATCATAATGGGAGCAGCTAT